TATTATTTAGTGGTATTGATTACTTACATTATGGTAGCATCTATGTGTATACCACACCCCCATTGTGCATATTAATGCAACAAAAAATAGCTTGGAAGGGCTTCTAGCCTAAATAAAACACGCTTCATTGTATTCATGGTGCAGAACAAATATCCAATCTCTGATAGTAACATCGTAGGTGTGTGTAGTCCTACATAAGGGGAGGGTTTTTTTCAATGCCTGTTTCTGTGTGGCAAATACATCTACACAGAAGTTAACCAGAAATGTTTTCTTCCAGTGGCTATGGTTCACCAACATTTGCTCAGGCGGAGAGGGAGCAGAATTCAAGAACAAGTGCAAAAGCTCTTTATGGTAAGGTGGCATAAAGTCTTTAAACATTTATGTTAAAATTGTTGTTTAAATATTGATTGTGATGTCATGGTGAAAATATTTTATGCATATAAATTTAAAACATGTATGTACATACACATACATGTGTGTGTATAAACAAAATTAAAGAACAAAGTGATTTTATTCCTGCTAAAACTAACTAGGCTAGCTAGAAAATGCTTTTATGGTTTACTAAGCAGAGAACTCCCACCTGCTAATTCTTAAGGCAGTAATATATAAAGCATTTATCACAAAACTGAGAGTGATCCTATAGCTAAGTTATGTATCAGGGAGAAGGCATTCAGGGATCTAGCTGTGCTATAGGTTTGATTCATGACCTTTGTCTCCCCCTGCCTCTCCACCTTTATCCCCTGCTAGCAGAAAAGGAATTTAAAATATTATTCTTGTTTGACACAAGGATTTCATGGAGGTTAGATTTGATGTAACGGATTTGGAGCCCTATTTGGCCTGCTATTTTTGACAGGCTTTGTGACTGTCAAATGTGATGTTGCTTATAAATGCCTAAACGTTTTTGCACTTACCAGCTACAGATGCTAGTATTTGCCTTGGCTGTATACGCTACTCTCTAGCCCGTGGCCAAATCACTGTGGAGGCAGAATGTAGTCATGTTCCCTGCCAGCCAAATTGCACCGTTTCCTGGTTGTCCACCTCCACTGTGAATACATCCTGCTGATAGCTGTGCTGGTAATGGAAATACAGGCGGCAATGAAGTTGAGAGATGTTCTGCTGTGTAAATCTGTGCCTGTTGTTAAAGTACTTTCTTTTGCAAGTCAGTACAACTGATACGACTGGAAGAACGAGGTTTGCAGTGAGAACCCAGTCCTGTGCAGGACCCCCCGCACCTCAGCCTGCTCCCCTTGTTGCATCTACCACCTCTTCTGCAGGTTAACAAACTGGAAAGCTCAAAGAGCAGTGGCTAGTAACTGCAACATCCTTAGTAGTAACTAATCTTTCCTCCCTCCTGTTTTGGGTAGGGTGATGGCTGGGAGTGACCTTGGGGGCTAGGGGACTGAGGGCGGGATGCTTTGTGGCACTGGAACAGCGTTAACTTTGCCCTTGGAAGGATAGCCGTCAGGCCCCGTGAGCACATGAGAACAACTTTGTTGTACTGGTTGCCTTGTTGGATTTCAAACTGCTTTGAAATTCATGAGGCTAAAAGCCTAAGAAGGAGATGGGAGGTCTCCTAGCTTTGTGTCCTCTGAAAAGAGGAGTGGTGTGAAAAAGATGACATGGTTTGGTGGATGAAGGCACTGTGCTAGAGTAGTGTGAAGGTCCACTTCTAGAAGAATCAGCTAAAACAGAAGTAGAAACCATTTGAAACATTTGTCATTTAAAAATGATGTTGCATGTGAATCATTCTAAGTTTAAATTTATCTTTTTTAGTGGTATGCCACAGAAGTCAGTCACTTGACATAGTATTAAAGGCAGGAACTGCAAATGAGGAAAATTCTGAAGAGATCGTTTTAAACAGTGATTTCTGCATCCTGTATGGTTTCACTCGATAAACTGATTGCACGTGTTGACAGAAATAGTAGGTGGTAACAGAAACCAGCAAGAGACATTGCGAAAAACTCTTTGCAGATTATTTCTTTATGAGACGTTATGAGACTGTTGCGCTTTTCTTTTTCGTTTTATATCATCATCATAATTTTTCAAGAGTACATGGTTTGAACAGCTTGGCAGTATCAGTAAGTGTCTTAACTATGTTCTTTAATCTTTGTAGGCTTTTAAAATAATACCTCTCTGAGCTTTTTTATATCAAACATGTCATGGGATAGTCATATGTCAGTAGACGATGGGGACAAGTGAGTAAGTTTGAGGTATATAATGGTAAACAGCCGTTTACTTCTAAAATACTTAATTGAATTCAGGTACTAATTGAAAATGCTTACCATATAACTGCTGCGTGGTGGCTCCTGTAAAATGAATTGTTAATCTTGGTTCACTTCCATTGGTGGTAGATATATCACAAAACTATAGTTGCAGTTGCCAACTGCAGGAACTGAATGGAGTAGAAGACTCAATTATCCTGCAGCTCTGAGTAAAGATATATGGGCACAGCTTTTAGAAAGGAGTTTGCACATTTTACTGCTTCTGATCTGTTTTGTATGCATAAAGAACTAGGCTGTCAGTATCGCCAAATGTATGAACTGGAGAAAACAAGGAAAACACCTAAAACCTTTCTCAAATTCAGGGCAATTATATTTTTTTAAATTTTAGCAATTCTGCTGCAACCCACGTGTGACTTTTCTTCCTTTGTGGTGTTAGGGATTTTTGTGCATGCTGTCCTAAGGGGGGTGGGAAGCAGTTGAGTGACACTGGAATTGTTAAAATGTGTTAAAAATGCTTATTATAAAATATTTTATTTGTAATTGATTTATAATTAATAGCTAACTTAAGTATTTTATTTGAGATCCATGAGACTGAAAGCCTATAAAGCAGACTTTTTAATATTTGATATTATGTATATGTATATTAAATGGACATATTTTATTTATGTAAATTCATAAAGCTCATGTATTTAATAGATTTGCTTATAATATATTGGAAAAATATATATA